TTAATGTTCGTATGTTCAAGAAAGCCTTAATTAGGTTACCACTTATGAAGAAACTTTCTGTTAGGCACTAAATATTGAGACTACAGAATTCTAGTTCTTTAGATATTGCTACTTACAAACATTAGTATATACGCATAAACACAAACAGTGTGTATTAATGCTAGGATAGTCATTCAACCACTCTATTGATCTTACCTGGTGTATTTTTGTCTTTTTTGATGTAGAATTACCTAATCTACACCCCCTATTTTTGTTTGTTTCCTTTGTCGATTTTCATTATAGTGAATTGATACTACAGTAATTTCCCAAGGAAAAGAGTATTTATTTATTTATTTATTTTTATACTAAAATTAGGGCTTGAACTATGGGCCTGGGTGTTAAAGCTCAAAGCTAGGGCTTTACCACTTGTGCCACAGCTCCACTTCTAGCTTTTTTGGTGGTTAATTGGAGATTGAGTCTCACTGACTTTCCTGTGTTAGCTGGCCTGGAATTGTGATTCTTAGATCTCAGTTTCCAGAGTGGCTAGGATTATAGGCTCTGCATTTATCTTTGAAGCAAGGTTTCACTTTATGCCCTGAGAGGTACTAAACTGTTATTCTTCAATTTCTGTTTCCTTATATCTCTGGGGCTACCAGGTGTCTGTTGTTGGTTGTGCCCAGTAATTGTGGTTCCCTCCAAAATATCAGTTCCCCTCTCTGGCTGAGATGGAGGGTCATGAACTTTTATGCCCAGTCTGGCCTTGAACATTGATGCCCTGATCTATGCTTTCCAAGTATCTAGGATTACAGACTTAAGCCGTTGTGTCTGGCCCCAAATTCCTATATCTTAAAATTGCTTTCCCAGGAACTCTAACATTGTGTAAAGGATTAATTTAGGCAAATTTTGCCTGTCATGTTTTTGTTAATATTTGAAATATTTTTTACAAAAATGGCTTGAATTTTGGGTAGCAGTAGCCTGAAATATGATTTGGGGTTTTGTGTTTACAATTGGTAAGTCATTTTGATTGAATGGGGGCCAAATTGGACTTTGTGAAGCAAAGCCTTGTAGACTAGAGTGAAGTTCTAACCTTGACACAATTGGAATTACCAAAACGTGCTAAATTTTGAGCACTAGTTTGTTGATAATAGCCTATGTGTTCCTGTCCAGGAACACAGAAATGAGATTTACGAAATAATTAGTCCCTAACCTGCACCTGCTACCCATCTTGCACACTGTGCTGGGCACTATAATTAAGCTAATTTTTATTGAGTACAATTTTCCAGGCATTCATCACATGTATTTTTCTCTTTTTCTTTAATCTGTTTCAATTTTTTATTGTACTGGGGGATAAAACCCAATACTTACCTGTACATGGTAGGCAAAGTGCATGCCAGGTACATGCTCTAACACTGAACTACATGTATTTGCACATGGGCCTTGCACATGTTGTTGTTTTTGGTCGGTCGTGGGGCTTGAACTCTGGGCCTACGTGTGGTCCTTGAGCTTTTCAGCTCAAGGGAGTGCTCTACCATTCGAGCTACAGCACCATTTCCAGTTTTCTGTTGGTTAATTGGAGATAAGAGTCTCAGGGACTTTTCCTGCCCTGTCTGGCTTTGAACTGGGATTCTCAGATCTCAGCTAGGATCTCAGATCTCTGAGTAGCTGGGATCTACAGGTGTGAGCCACAGGTGCCCAGCTGTAAATGTATTATTTATCTAATCCTGACAACTCTAGATTTGTTGTACTTTATTTGTTGTACTATTTACAGAGTGAGAAAACTTGAGTTTTACACCTGTTTATGGAAAGTCAGACTGAGACACTACATAAGTCAGCTTGTTTAAGATCATATTGCAAAAGATTGGAATACAAGTTGTTTTTACTCTAGATCCTGTTTTGCTTTACTATTTTACCTTAAGGTGGCACGTCTCGCTAACAAATGGGAATACAGTCCTGACCTAGTTGAAAGAGCCAGGCTGGGAGGGTTTTTAATCTGGTGGATGGTCCACTGGATTACTTTTCAACCATGCAAAAAAGTTGGCTGCTGTGTCTGTGCCACTCATACATATTTTTTCATTACAGTATTGTAAAAACATGCTATAAAGTGCTATTAAATGCATCAGGGTGCACTTGAATATCATATGTAACTCAGTAATGGATAATTTAAACAGTGAGATCTTTCTATGTTATTTCTGCTTTAGTATTTGATTTAGAGTTAGTCTTCATTTGTAGTCTAGGCTGGTCTTGAAACTCAGTATCCTGCTTTTTCCCTACAAGTGCAGCAAATTACAGACAATTTCTGAGGATCTTAAAGTGTATTAAGATATTATGGGTGCTTTTGTTTCCTGGAAGGCTTTAGTTCCTATATATTTCCATACTAGAGCAAATTTGAAGAAACATGGTGATAAGGTTTGGATGTTTTAGACATGCTGTGTCTAAGGTGGTCTTGTTCTAATAGTTTATTGACTAGATTTGGAGCTAAACTAGATAGGGTTTTCCCCATTAACATTGACATATGTGGTTAGATTTGGAAGCAGGACTGAATTATAGTAATAGAGTTTTGATTTAGGAAATTAGAACTCAATTGGTTGGTTGATTGATTGTTGGTTGTGGGGCTTGAACTCAAGGCCTGGGTATTGTCCCTGAGGTATTTTGTTCAAGGGTAGCACTATATTGCTTTGAGTTACAGCTCTACTTCTGGTTTTCTGGTGGTTAGTTAGAGGTAAGGTTCTCACAGAGTTTGTTGCCAAGGCTAGCTTTGAACCATAATCCTCACGTCTCAGCCTTCTGGTTTACCTTGTAGGATTACTGGGTCTGTTGTGCTTACTACAGACTCTGAGATCTTGGACATCTTAGTTTTTTCAGTGAAAAATTGACTCATTGATCTAGATTGTCTTGTCTGTTACTAAAAACTTTTGATATGCCTAGACTATGTTACTTAAATAACCCTGACATATAGAGATGGTATCTCTGTGTTAGGAATCAGAAAATTTATTTCCAAGAACCACCTTAATATCATAGGGTCTATAACTAGAGAAGAGGAAGAGGAACAGGAAAGACAACAGGCCATTTCAAAACTGATGAAACCAATAAAATGCTTTACTTACATATTTTCAGCTTTGAACTTCTACAGTATACGTTAGTAAGAGTTATGTGCCCTAGTTATTCTTTTCCTACCTCAGCAAAAGGCTTAGTGATTGTGGGGAACCATTCTAGCTGTTTCATTAACATTGATTGTTAGCATGTGCCGTGAGGAATGGATCTGTTGATTGGTTGTCCTTATTGTTTGAAATCTTCCAGAGACTTTTACTAAAGCATAAAGCACAGTAGCAGTATGGAAGTGTTAGTGAGAAAAAGTACATGGTTATAATGGAAAAGAAAAAGTGAACTTTTAGCCAGGCACTCAGGAGGCTGAGATCTGAGGATCACAGTTCAAAGCCAGCCCAGGCAGAAAAGTCTATGAGACTTATCTCACCACCCCCACCACCCCCCAGAAATGGAGCTGTGGCTCAGTGGTAGAGCAGCAGCCTTGATCTGAAAAATCTAAGTGACAGCACCCAGGCTTTGAGTTCAAGCCCCAGAACCAGCATCTCCTCTCCCCTAAAGAAAACAATATAGAAAAAGGAAGGAAGGAAGAAAGGAAGGAAAAGAAGGAAGGAAGGATATGATATGATTGAGTGTTTAGAGATTAGAGGAGGTTTCCAGGAATGAGCATAACAAGTTAAGAAGGAAAAACAGAAGGCAGGCCTACTATAAAAGAAATGTAATAATTTAAGGGAAAGGATAATACAAGTAATATTTGTCCAGTACCAAATATATGTCTTATACTTAAATATGTGTGCTCAATTTAAAACAAAATATATTTTCTTATAGATAATGGTACATTGTTTAAAAACAACAACAAAAAAGCCTGAAATACGCTAAAAATACTACTGAAGTTGAATTTGCTCTTAGATAGGTGAAGTCAGTTAGAGTAGAAAAACCATTGGATTGGAACCTGAATTGAAGGCTTTACCTTCATGTTGTTTTGTTTTCAGTTGTAGAAATCACAGTCATCTATGTGATCCCTAACTATGTGGTCCCTAGAACCTAGATTACTTAGAGAATTTGTTTTCTTGAAATTAAGAAACCCAGCTGGTAGTAGCTGGGTTTAAGCTCTGTTTACCTTGTTAGTTTCTTTCTCTCTGTTTCTCTAGCCTTTGTCTTTCTTTCTCAATATACAAACATCTTTGATCGTCATTTTTAAAGCATTTCTTTTTTCCGTTGTGAAATTGTTTTTGCTCTTTAGTCTCATTTCTGTTTTTATACCATTGTAAAGTGCAGTTCTTTGCATGTTCTAATTTGCCATGACGTGGTCAAGGGCTGTTTCCTTCCTGTTGCTTGCAAGCCCTGTGCTGGAGATAAGGATACATTTCAGTGCATTTAAAAAAGAACCTACTGAAGACAGCTTAAACATGGTAACAAAGTATTTTACTTACCTGAAGCTTTTTAAAGAACTAAAAGGGAAGGTTTTAATTCTGATTATTTTTAAAGCTTATAAAATAGTAAAGTTGAAATTACTACATTCAAAGTGTGTGTGCGCGTGTGTGCCTGTGCGTGTGTGTGTGTGTGAGTGTGTGCCTAACAGTGATGGTCTCTGAATGTTTCAATTAAAGGCAAAAGTATACCTTATGAAATAATTCATAGAAGCAATTTCCTTTAGTGGAAAGAAGTAAATAGTTTATGTCCTTTATTGAGGGTACCAAGCCCCATTACTCTTGCTATATACTTGTTTTTATACTATTCAGCATTTAACGCAAGTTAAATGAGGATAGTAAGTGACTGGAATTACTTCATTTTTAGTAATGAAGGGAAGATTTTATCTTAGCAGAAATGAAATCTTCAAAGAAAGTAGGTCTAGAAACAACAACAAAAAATAAGAGTGTTAAAAATTTGTCATGTTCATCTTAATCAACAAAACACTTGATATACACTGTGCTCTGAATCAGTTGTTGTATTTTAAAGAACAAACATTTGTTTTTCAGGCCAAGAAAGTTGACAGAAGAATAATTTCAGAAGTACTGCCTCGGTTTGCTTAGAATCAATGAATCAAGAAACTTTGAACTATCTTCTCTAAAGAAACGTGGGTAGCCTGTAATTTTACAGACTTGCCTGAGGGATTTTTTCTCCCGAACTTGTTTCTGGACTCTACTGGCTACATTCTTGAATCTGTTTGGATTGTTCCATGTGGATCTAAAGGGAATGTTTTATTATGGCTGCTGTTGTCCAACAGAACGACCTTGTATTTGAATTCACTAGTAACGTCATGGAGGATGAACATCAGGTATGAGAACTTCAAGCTGGATTTTAATAACTATTATAATCTTTCATATGTAACAGAAAATTAGTTTTAGAAATAAGAGAGACGACTGAAATAAAAAACGAAACATTTGAAGGTATGTGTACACATACCAGTTAATTTATTGAGCATAAACCTCTTTTTTGGGGGGAAGGGTCCAGTCGTGGGACCTGAACTCTGGGCCTGGGCACTGTCCCTCAGCTTTTCAGCTCAAGGCTAGCACTCTACAACTTGAGCCACAGCACCACTTCTGGCATTTTTCTTTTTGCTTATGTGATTCTGAGGAATCGAACCCAGGCCTCAGACATGCAAGGCAAGCACTGTACTGCTGAGCCACCTTCCCAGCCCCTTGAGCATAAATCTTATCCTTAGCTTTAATGATGTGACAAGGAATACTTTGGGGCTTCAACTTGTTTTCTTTAAAATGAGAGTAGCAGCAACTGCCTTAAGAAATTACTTTAAATTACTTTAAAAAGTTATAGTTAACATACTAAATTTTAATTCCTGTAATTAGTATTTGTGATTGTGGGCAATTTCTTCAAGCAGATGAATTGATTTCAGCAGTATTGTAATACATTTCAGTCCCAAGTGTGTGAGGAAGTGCTTGCCTTCTCTAGACCTAGATTTTATTATCTTCAGGGGAATTAGAGAATTTCTAAATCAGCTGTTCTTGAATTTATGCATGATATGCAAATTGTAATCTTCAGAATGTGAATAAAAGACAGGAGATACTGAAGTTCCCTGTCTATAGGGTTTTGGGGATTTATTTTTTTTGGGGGGGATCAGGTCGTGAGGCCTGAACTCTGGGCCTGGGCACTGTCCCTCAGCTCTTCAGCTCAAGGCTAGCGCTCTACCACTTGAGCCACAACACCACTTCCGGCTTTTTTCTTTTTGCTTATGTGGTGCTGAGGAATCGAACCCAGGGCCTCAAACATGCAAGGCAAGCGCTCTACCACTGAGCTACCTTCCCAGCCCCGGTGTTGGGGATTTTATAATTTTATTTTAAACAGATTATATGAGCAGTATGATGTGGGAGAAATAGTGTTAAGTGTTGGAGAGACTCATACTAGGAAAAATATTTGAGTAGTAAGTTTAAAAAATGCCTAATGTGGTTGACTTAGTTTTTGAAATAAACTTAATTCTAAAATTAAACTTTAGTTGGCAATTTTAATGTTTTGTATTGTAAAAACAGTTACTGCAAATAATAAAATTGACTTGCTATAGTTTCTTAACTTTTTTATTGTCCATTGAGTTGACAGAATTAAAAAAAATCCACAAAGGGTAATTAACTTGTCTTAATTTGGATTAACTTGTCTTAAAATCAAGATGAGCTTCCATTAGGGAGAAAAATGTTTGAAGGGAAACATTTCTGGTCCCAACTAAAAATATATTAATAGAGACAGTAGAAAAGAGAAAGTGTTTTGAACTTATTTTAAGAAGAAGGTTTATGTATATATTAAGGCTTGAAAATGTTTGCTATGCCATTCTCTTAGATGAAAGATCCTAGGTGAGATTTGATAAACAGAATGTGACAACAGAGGCTGGGGCTGTAAGATACTCTCTGGAATGCTCTAGTGCAGTGACTTGCACACTCTCCACCATGAGAAATACATGTCACTTTACGGTTCCACATTTATATGTGTACGCATAGCCTTAAAGTTGTGTAAAGCGGTCACAGATCATAAATTCAGGTAATGAGTACATTTCTTCTTTTGGGTGTCACCCCTTCCTTCCTTCATTTCCTCCCAGTTTTCCCCTTCCATCCCTGTCCACAACTTACATAGGTCATTTTTCACATATTGAATATAGAATATCATGCCTACATTTGTTTACTCTTCTTTCCTCCCTTTCTGTGCTTCCTCTCTACCCACCTCCCCCCAAAAAAGCCAACCCCAAATATAAAACAAACATTACCACCACCACCAATAACAATACAACCCATATTTCCATTTCCTGGAATTAGTTTCAATAAATTGTATTTTAAATGTTCAGAGAAGTTATACCTTTGTGTTCTTCCCCTAAGGGTATCCCTTTTTAGTCTGACACTTTGAATGTTTTGAGTTTTGTGTAGATTATCATGTCCAGGTATATTTTAGCTCTAGCTTCCACATAATGAGAGAAAACATGTAGTGTTTTCTTTCTAAGCTTGGCTTACTTTACTTATCATGATTAGTTCTAGGTCCATCCATTTCCCAAAGCAGTACTTTTACTATATATGATGCACTTAGTTTATCTTAGAGAGGTTATTTATGTATTTTTGTCTTTGGAAAGAGTGTTGTTAGCTTAACATCAGCATGTATGTGTGCTTTTTTTTAGGTGTTTATTTTTGTTGGACAAAATCAAGCTTAGTTTTGTGAAATTATTACAAGGATTTCACAAATATTTGCCATGTGAAGCAAATACTATTATCTTCACTTTATGATGAGGAAACATACCTAATAAAGAAGTGACTTGTCCGAAATCAAAAGCTAGTTGAAAAAATAAAAGTAAATAGAGCCATAACCTGAACCTAGTTTTGACTTTCACTAAGGATACCATATAATCTTGTAGTGATGCATGCCAGGCTTACTGTTATGCAGTTAGACGATGATAATCATGGTCAAAGAAATTACACTACTTTTTAAAATAATTATTGAAATTGTAAATAGCATATTTAAAAATTTATAAATTCAGGCTGGGAATGTGGCTTAGTGGTAAAGTGCTTGCCCAGTATCCTTGAAGTCCTGGGTTCAGTACCACATACACAGAAAAAGCTGGAAATGGCGCTGTGGCTCAAGTGGTAGAGTGCTAGCCTTGAGCGAAAGAAGCTCAGGGACAGTGCCTCAAGACTGGCAAAAAAATTAATTAATTAAATAAAATTACAAATCCTAACTTGTACATCGTTTTCTTGTTTCTTAGGAGATTCCTTGGGTCATGAAGGTAGTTCTTTGTGGTTGTATTTTGAGAATGGAATTACATATTGTAGACTGAGAAATTATACATAAAAATGGTATTGTTGGTGGGAATGTGAACTAGTACAATGACTATAGAAATCAGCATAGAGGTGTCTCAAAAACAGAAAATAGACCTACCGTATGGCCTACCATAGCAATATTTGTCATAGGTCTGAAGGACAATAAATCAATACTTAAGGTACTGAGTGCTTATGTTCATTGTAGCATTCTTCACAATAGTCAAACTCTGGAATCAGCTGAGGTATCCAACATCAGGTGAATGGATAGAAGAATACTGTGTATGTGTGTGCATGCATGTACATATCCACAGGGTCATACACAGTAGAGTATACATAGCCACAAAGAAAAATGAAATGTCATTTGCAGGAAAATGAATGGAATAGGAGAACTTAATCTTCACCAAGATAAGCCAATCTCAAAAAGCTAAATATCTTATATTTTCACTTACATTTGGAAGCTAGGCTTAAAAGACATACATATTCATAGACATGCATTTTTAAAAAAACAGTTTATTGTGATTATATATATATTGTGAGTATACATATGTGTATATACATATATATGCATCTAAGCTTTGTGTGTATCTATGTACATGTGGGCCTGGGGCTTGAACCTTGGGATTTGTATATACCAGGTTAACACTATATCACTGAGCTATATCTTCAGCCCCAACTCATCTGTTAAAAATGTACAATTCAGTGTTTTGTTTTTTTTCCTTCTCCGGTTAGTCTCTACACAAAGTTAGGTCATTGTAGTCAAGTTTAGAACATTTTGTTATCACCAGAAGAATTCTACATCATTGAAGGTCATATACTATTTCTTCTCCTTTTTGAATACCTTGGGAAGTCCCGTTCTTCTTTCTATCTCTGGGAATTTGTCCATTCTTTGCTTTTTTTTTTTTTTTTTGGGTCCAGTCGTGGGGCCTGAACTCTGGGCCTGGGTGATGTCCCTCTGCTCTTCAGCTCAAGGCTAGTGCTCTACCACTTGAGCCACAGTGCCACTTCTGGCTTTTTTCTGTTTATGTGGTGCTGAGGAATCGAACCCAGGGCCTCATGCATGCAAGGCAAGTGCTCTACCACTGAGCCACCTTCCCAGTCGCTCTGTGCATTTTCTATAAATGGAATTATATAAAACATAATCTTATCGTGGCTATCTTCTTTCACTTTAGCATAATGTTTTCAAGGTTCATCTATGTTGTGCCATGTCTCAGTACTTCATTTGCTTTAATTGTTGAATCACATTCCATTGTATATATATGCTAGGTTGAAAAGTATCCAATCATTATTCTTTCTAAAGAATACTATATGTTTTTTGGGGGAGCATACTAAGGATTCTCAGGTTCTCAAATGTCCTGCCACTTGAGCCATGACCCCAGTCTTTTTGCTATTTTGTTTTTCATATTGAGTCTACAGTTAACTTGGCACAGGTTGGCCCGTCCTTCTACCTCCACCTCTGAGTAGCTGGAATTACCTAGATACACCACTACACTCAGCAGAATATTATTTTTTAAATGAGATTTGAATTGCATATGAATCTGTTATTCTCTGTTACCTGTTACCCCCCCCCCCCCCCCCCCCATACACACACACCCAGCCACCACCCTTTTTTGTGCTGGTATTGAGGCTTGAAACTCACAGCTTGGGGCCTGTCCCTTATGATCCCCACATATACAAGTTTAGTGCTCTATCACTTGAGCCATGGGCCATTCCCAGCTTTTGGGTAGCTTTTGGGTAGTAAGAGTCTCATGAGCTTTCTTTGCCCAGACTGACTTTGAACCATGATTCGCAGATCTCCGCCTTCTGAATAGCTAGGATTACAGATGTGAGCCACTACAGATGTGAGCCACTGGCACCCAGTTTTGTTATTGTTTCTCAAGATACCCTTTCCTTTTCCTTTTCCTTTTCCCTCCCCTCTTCTCCCTTCTCTCCTCCTCTTCCCTCCCTCCCCTCCCTCCCCTCCCTCCTCTCCCCCCTCCCTCCCTCCCTCCCTCCCTCCCTCCTTCCTTCCTTCCTTCCTTTCTTCCTTCCATTT